AGTGGGCTGCCATTCCCTTCTCCAATGCATGAAAGTGAAAAGTGAAAGTGAGGTCGTTCAGTCGTGTCCAACTCTTAGCGACCCCATGGACCACAGCCTACCAGGCTCCTCCGTCCATGGGATTTTCCAGGCAAGAGCACTGGAGTGGGGTGCCACTGCCTTCTCCAAGTGATACTTTAAGTTTGTAAAATAGGAAAAGAGTGTGCAGAAGCAGAGAAATCTTAATCTCAAACTCTACAGTTCAGAGGCATCCCTAAGAACATTTTGATGTACTTCCTTCCAGACATTTTTCTTTGGAGTTTTTATAAAGTTGAGATGTTATTGCGTATATAATGTTATATTCTCTGTTTAGAAAAAGAACAATCTTCACACATTAAACGTTTTTAACACAATTTTTAATGATGGCATAATATGTCATTGGTTATAGGTTTCATAATTTATCCTGCTGATGGACCTAAAGATTGTTTTCAGTTCTTAATATTACATATATATCTAATTTTATTTCTGATCATTTTAAAAAATAAATTTCTGTCTTAATTCAATTGGGCTGCTGTAAAAAGTTGCCATAGATTGGGTGGCTTATAAGCAATAGAAATTTATTTCTCACAGTTCTAGAGGCTGGGGAGTCCAAGATCAATGCTCTGGAAGAGTCAGTGTCTGACAAGAATACACTTCCTGGTTAGTAGACGGCACTTATTTCACTATGTCCTCCCATGGCAGAGCCAGCTTGGGAGCTTTCTGGTGTCTCTTTTGTAAGGGCACTAATCTCCTATGTTCTCTCCTTCATGACTTAATTGCCTCCCAAATTCCCCCCTTCCAAATGCCATCATATTGGATATTATGTTTCAATATATGAATTTTGGAGTGGGGGACACAAGAATTTAACCTACAGCAATTCCCAGAAGGAATTGGGTTGAGTTACTTGAAATTACTGGATCAGAAGCAGGAACCTTTTTTTTTTTAGGAACCTTTTTTAAGTCTCTTGGTTTGTAGCATCCATTGGCTTTCCAGAAAGCATATGCCCCTTGATTAACTTTAGCCATGATGACAGAGCCAGTCCTTTGCTGATGCCGGTTCGGTTACCAATGATAAACGCTGTTTTTGAACTTGCGAGAGTTTCAAAACGAATGGTCAGAAAAGGCTCTGCAGTCAGATGGACCCTGAGCTAAGCCGGAAGGATCCATAAGTTTCAAATAAACTTCCAGCAGGAACACAGGTACAGTGGAAATGATACAGCATATTGTGGAGACAGTCATAACCTAATTTTCCTACTGTAGACAGTTGCAGCCTGGGATGTAAATTCAGAAAAGGGCTGTCAGTTGAGACTGAGCTGAATTCTACAGGTAATGGGGAGCTGTTGACAGTGTTTGAGCAGGGATAAGAGGAAAACAATGTTTCAGTGATCATAGTAGTCTTTATCTGGGAAACCAGAAACACCTTGAGCAGTAGCAGAAGATTTTTTAAAATGGTTATCTGTTTTAAAAATTATACATCATATAAACATCCTAAGAATGATTTGCCCTAAGGATGTTTAGCATGTGATAGTAGTATGACCTGTCAGCCATCTGTGTGGCTCAGACTTTTACATTCAGGTGGTGTGGCTTGGGGACCACAGTGAGTGGATCCACATTGGCAGTCAGAAGCTATTTCACACGGAGGAAATCTCAGTTTTCATGAAATGAAGGTCTCTTTGGCTTTTATGCATGCAGTTACAGTAAATCCTCCTGAGAATTGCCCTAAGAATTTCCTGGTTAATAAAAATTTTATCTCTTTTGATTGAATTTTTTGCCATTTTAAAGGAAATGTTCAGTTCGGTTCAGTCGCTCCGTCGTATCTGACTCTTTGCGACCCCATGAACCACAGCACGCCAGGCCTCCCTGTCCACCACCAACTCCCAGAGTCCACTCAAACCCATATCCATAGAGTTGGTGATGCCATCCAACCATCTCATCCTCTGTTGTCCCCTTCTCCTCCTGCCCTCCATCTTTCCCAGCATCAGGGTCTTTTCAAATGAGTCAGCTCTTCATATCAGGTGGCCAAAGTATTGGAGTTTCAGCTTCAACATCAGTCCTTCCAGTGAATACCCAGGACTGATCTCCTTTAGGGTGGACTGGTTGGATCTCCTTGCAGTCCAAAGGACTTCTTCAACACCACAGTTCAAAAGCATCAATTCTTCTGCACTCAGCTTTCTTTGTAGTCCAACTCTCACATCCATACACGACCACTGGAAAAATCATAGCCTTGACTAGACGGACCTTTGTTGCCAAAGTAATGTCTCTGCTTTTTAATATGCTCTCTAGATTGGTCATAACTTTCCTTCCAAGGAGTAAGCATCTTTTGATTCCATGGCTGCAGTCACCATCTGCAGTGATTTTGGAGCCCATAAAAATAAAGTCAGCCACTGTTTCCACCGTTTCCCCATCTATTTGCCATGAAGTGATGGGACCGGATGCCATGATCATTGTTTTCTGAATGTTGAGCTTTAAGCCAACTTTTTCACTCTCCTCTTTTACTTTCATCAAGAGTCTCTTTAGTTCTTCTTCACTGTCTGCCATAAGGGTGGTGTCATCTGCATATCTGAGGTTATTGATATTTCTCCTGGCAATCTTGATTCCAGCTTGTGCTTCCTCCAGTCCAGCATTTCTCATGATGTACTCTGCATATAAGTTAAATAAGCAAGGTGACAATATACAGCCTTGACATACTCCTTTTCCTATTTGAAACCAGTCTGTTTTTCCATGTCCAGTTCTAACTGTTGCTTTCTGACCTGCATACAGGTTTCTCAAGAGGCAGGTCAGGTGGTCTGGTATTCCCATTTCTTTCAGAATTTTCCACAGTTTATTGTGATACACACAGTCAAGGCTTTGGCATAGTCGATAAAGCAGAAATAGATGTTTTTCTGGAACTCTCTTGCTTTTTCGATGATCCAGCAGATGTTGGCAATTTGATCTCTGGTTCCTCTGCCTTTTCTAAAACCATATAATACACATACACTTTTGTAATACACATACACTTTTAAAATTCATCTATATGTCACCATACCTCATATAGCACAATGCTTATGTTATAGAAAAATAAGACTCAGACTCAAGTTTTATTCAGATCTGCTAAAAAAGTGAATAAGGGGGCCCTCACAAAACTGATGGGCCACCAAGGAGATGCTGATTTTTCTTGGTGTACATTGTCACAAGCTGCACTAATATGGCAAAATGTTACAACTGTGTAAAATACTTGATGGAATTAACTTAGGATAACTATCAAGTGTCAAGAGCTTTCATGGAGCGTATAGCTGACATACTTTTAAAAGGATGATACTATTCACCCTGGGGGAGTAACACATTAGGGTGTTCCCAAGTTTGCTGGGGCTTTAACCTTTCCTTAACCGGAGTTTTCATGATGTATAACTCCATCTCTCATGGGCAGGGCTAGTTTCATGGGTGTGTGACCTGCGTGGTCACAGAGGCCCTGTGCTTTAGAAGGGTCTGGTGCTTCGTGTGATGTTCTTCTCTTTCCATCTTGAAATTCCACATACATTTTGAACAAGGGTTCTGCATTTTCATTTTACAAAGGATTCTTGTTTTGTTGCTTTTGCGACCCTATGGACTGTAGCCCACTAGTCTCCTCTGTCCATGGGATTTCCCAGGCGAGAATACTGAAGTGGGTTGCTGTTTCCTTCTCTAGGGGATCATCCTGACCCATGTCTTCTGCATTGGCAGGTGGATTCTTTACCACTGAGCCACCAGGAAAGCCCTTTACACAGGGTCCCTCAAATGATCTAACCGGTCTTGGTGAAAGCTGATTTCATCTTTTCTTGCTGTATATTATGGGCTAAAACATGGTTTGTCCACAGGACCAAACTAAAGTTAGGGGTGAGGGCTGCGGTGAGCTACAGGAGCTTTCGGCCAACGCCTCTCATTTCCGTAGGAGGCTAAACTTAGTACAGTAGGAGAAGTGAGGAGAGAGCAGGGTTTCCAAGCAGACAGGCTGCTGGAACTGGAGTTTCTCCAGGAAGAGCAGTAGCAAAGGCTGCCATGCCTGCCACACCCACACCCACATGAAGCTGATAACCCCCAGGCTCTAACTGATTGCTTCTGGTACATTATTTCCCTTCACTGAATTCTCTCAACAAACTGCAACGTGAGTATTATTTTTACACATGAAGAATCTGAAGTTTTCAGCTGTCAAGTTGCCCATAATTATAAAGCTGTTAATAGTCATGGTCTTTCCCTATTCACCTTTCTACTGACTTAAGAAATAGCCATTCCTCTTTGTCTGTTGTTAAAATTGAACCTGAATCACTTATTTGTCAACTTAAAAAGATTCACTATCAGGGAGAGAGCCATAGATTTTACTTACATGTATATTTTACTTTCTTTTTCCTTTTTAAAAATATTTATTTTGGCAGCTCCAGGTCTTGCTTGCTGCTCTTGGGATTTTCAATCTTTGCGTGGCCTGTGGGATCATTCTAGTTGCAGTATGTGGGATCTAGTTCCCTGACAAGGGATCGAACCCAGGCCCCATGCATTGGGACCGTGGAGTCTTAGCCCCTGGACTATCAGGGAAGTCCCTAGATTGTTTATTTTCTACTTTTTACTTTCATATAATTGTAGTTTTGCTCTTTGTGAGCTTTTGGATATAAATTTCCTTACTTTTTCTCCATGGATGCTACCTGGACAGTATATTAATGCTGGAAGGGTTTTTCCAACAAGAGATAGGTACACCCTCCTTCTTTTCTCAGAAGGCTGTGTCAGTAAACTGTGTTGTGTATTTTTTAGGCCTCAGCCAAAATGACATTCTGTTTCTTGATTATTTCTATTATTATTTTCCTAGTCGTTATGTGTGGTTATGTTCTGCAGTAATTCTAAAAAATTATTCATGTTTTCTCTTTTAATTTTGCATTTAAATAAGGTCTTTCAGTAAGTTCTATAAGTCTGTAAGTAAATTCAGTAAGTCTGTAAGTAAATTCTATTCTGGACTAACTCGAATTATGTCTCCCACAGGAAAGCGTCCCTGGCAGCTGAGGTGTCCAGGCTTGGATGCGGTTCCTCACCCAGCCACAAATACATCCCCCGGAGGGCTGTGCTCTATGTACCTGGCAATGATGAAAAGAAGATAAACAAGATTCCCTCCCTGAATGTAGACTGTGCGGTGCTTGACTGTGAGGATGGTGTGGCTGTGAACAAAAAGGTAACGGCATGATTTTTCCTTACGGTGGGACAAAGAAATACATTGAAATTTGGTAGCATTGCTCACTATTTGGAAAGAGTCTACCATATTCATCGTTTACTGATTACTAATATATTCATGGGCTTCCCTGGTGGCTCAGATGGTAAAGAATCCACCTGCAATGCAGAAGACCCAGGTTTGATCCCTGGGTCAGGAATATCTCCTGGAGAAGGAAATGGCAATCCACTCCTGTATTCTTGGCTGGAGAATCCCATGGACAGAGGAGCCTGGTGGGCTACAGTCTTTGAGGTTGCAAAGAGTCGGACAGGACTAAGCAACTAAGCACAATATATCAGCACGCGTTATATTCTTGACCACTCCTTGTGTGGGTTCTGAATGTATATGGTTCTTTCCTCCAAGAGACAGGAGGAATCCAGCCAAAATATATTTAAAACTGTGATCTTCAGCATATATGTTTATGTATGTGTGTATAGATAAAGAGATATATGCTTAAAAAGAAAGAGAATTAGATTCCCAATCTGTTTTGGCTGTGATGTTTGCTGGTTTAAGTAAATCAGTTAATCCTAGACTTGTGGTATGAATTTTTCAAATCAATAAGATGAAATTAGGAATTTATTTCTTTTTATCGCTAGGTATACAGCGTAGTGAGTGACCTTATCTCTTCTGGGGCAAGTGCCAATAACAAATAGTCTTCAATGGATAAGTCACTATTTTCCCTCCATACTTAAAGGGCAACTACACACAGAACTTCAAACTTGCTGCTTCTAGCTGATTTTCTCATGGCCTGATCAGAGAAATGTGTCTTAAAAAACACCCAGTTTGTAAACAGATACAAAAGGTTCTTGCTGGCTGGTAACATGATGAGTGCTTTTTGTTTCATTTTGGTCTGCTTATCTTCATTTTCTAGGTTTTTATAATGAACACAGATTTGTTCAAATAATTGGGTAAAATACATAAATCATTATAATAACCGATGTTGGCACGGAACTTTTTAAATTAAAAACATGTTTTTCCTCGACCTTCCTCTGTCCAGTCCCTAGACAGTGAGGTTGGGTTGGGAATAGACTATGGGGCTGGAGGCACAGAGGAGCTGGCCATCTGAAGTTTTATCTATGTGGATAGTTTCTTTTCCTTGGTGATCTAAAACAGCATGCTTGTCCTATACAAGTTTCTTGATTAATTGCTTTCCCTGGTGATTCTAGCAAATAGTGGCCTTATTTTTTTTTTTAAGTTAGTTTCTAGCATCTTTCTAATGGTGAAACCAAGGCTTTGTAAGTATATGGTAAAGGATTAGAATAAACGTGGAATCTAAAAGCGTCTACCCAACATCTTTGGCATGCACCAAAGAAAATACAATTAATTTTCTTTCTTCCACAGATTAAGGTAAATAGGGCTTTTCTTGAAGGATGTAATATGATTCCAGTATTCTCCCTTCCAAAACTCACATAGCGCACTCTAAGATTAGATACTAAACTAATTCTAGTTCTTTGTGACCCAGGGCAATTCACTCTACTTCTTTGCCTCAATGTCTTATCTGTACTGTGGGATGACAAAAATCTTCTTTTGTCAGGGACAGGGATTATAGCAAGGAATAAGTTTGATAAAATGCCCTCGAGTAGTTTGATTTCCTATAGGAAATAGATTAGATAAATCCTGTAGTAATCATGATTAGAGGGGAATTTATTTTAGCGTGTAGCACAGTGAGCCATTTGGTGCTCTGATAAACTTCCAATTATATTTCTTCACAAGACTTGAGGCTATCTTCCCTTACCCACCCAAGGATGTTTCCAGCTACCCAGATGAGTTGGAAATATAGTTCATTCCTGCATCATGTTTGCTTACTGTTAATCTGTGTTCTGAAGTGCATCCTAATACCTGGAGCCACTACTTAGGAGGAACCTAAGGAGGGGTGGCGGGAGAAGAGTTTAGGATGGGCAAGTTGTGCCCACTAGCTTGGTGAAGATGTCCAGACAGTCAGAACTCTGCAGTTCTCAGTGCACCTAAAGTTTGCGTTAACTGCCAGACACATTAACGTGACTGTTAATGTTAACATGTTAATCATGTTAACATGATGAACACATGCTGAACTTGGAGTCAACCAAATTTCCTTTTCTTGTCCACAGAGAGTTCTGGCAAGCCAGGCCAGTACTTGTAAAACACATTTTTTTCCTTAAAATTTCTACCCAGGACTTAATTTTTTCTCATATATTTCATTTCATAGCCCCAGTCTGTCAATGTCTTTTTGGGTTTTGATTTCCTTGTCCAACATTTATGTTATCTGAGAATTTGACCAGCACACTGTACAAAAATTTGACAAGTTTCTGATAGAGATGTTGAAGAGGTTGGAGCCAAGTGCTATGCAAGCATGCTGCTAGAAACTTCTGTTCAAGTTTATTTAGCAAAGTTTTTTTTTTTTTTTTTTTTTTTTTTTGGCCACACCAGGCAGCATGTGGACTCATTTGCCTGACCAGGGATTGAACCCATACCCCCTGCATTGGAAGTGCAGGGCCTTAACCCCTGGACCACCAGGGAAGTCCCTTTAACAAACATTTATATAGTGGTGACTAAATGCTAAGCACTGTTCTAAAGGTTTTAATTTGCATAACATCCCAATGAGTTAGTATCATTATACTCCATATACAGATAAGGTGGACTTCCTTAATGGCTCAGCGGGTAAAGAATCTACCTGTGATGCAGGAGACCCAGAAGACTCAGGTTCAATCCCTGGGTTGGGAAGATCCCCTCAAGAAGAGAATGGCAACCCACTCTAGTATCCTTGCCTGGGAAATCCCATGAACAGAGGAGCCTGGTGGGCTACAGTCCATGGGGTCGCAAAGAGTTGGATACGACCGAGTGACTAAGCACAGCACGTATAAGAAAGCTGAACCATGGAGCGGTCAGGGTCATGAATCAGTTCTGTGAATACAGTTATTCAGTCACCTAATTCGTAAAATCCAGTCTTTTCACAAGAATAGATAAGAGATTTTTACCTAGTGCGTTTCAAGATCAAGATTCCTTTCTGATCTACACGGTCTAGCAATGCCCCCTCTCTCTCCCTGTACCCCCATCTCTCCAGAAAAATGAGTTTAAGTAGATGAGACTTGACCTTGAAGAACCCTGTCAGTACTACCAAGTTGTTACCACCTTCACTTTGAAGTGCTGGAGATACAAAAATGGTAATAGCTCCCATGTACTGAGAATGTAAGAGGCGCTATAATAAATACCTTAATTATCTTGTTTACTCCTTATATCAAAGTTTTGTCCAGGGTCCAGGGACGCACTGCCATTAAATAGCAGAACCAAGATTTGAACCTCCTGAATTTTTGCCAGGAATCAGCCTGAAGTTCACTTGTTGGCATATTACATAGCTTATATTATATAACCTTTTCCTCCTTTCTCTGAAAGTTAGTACCTTGGCTTCTCTTTATCTTTTGTCACCTTTGTATACTCTGCAGTTTCTCAAAGATTACCAACAGAAGCATCATATTCACACCTGAAAATTCTTCCAATGTTTTAGGATTTTAGTGCATTTAGACCTGGTAACTTAAATTCATTTGAAATGTCCAGATAAGTCTGAAACTTCTCATATAGCTCTTACTCTTTTTCCTTTCTTGAAGTCACCTTTTAATCATATTTCTTGTTGAATATTGTTCCTCTTGATGGAGGAGATAGAGACCATCTTAATGTTTACTTCTTGCCATGTTAAAACTCTTTCAAATGATCTAGTTATGGTTTTGCTAAACTGAACTCTTATTGCCTAATTCAACTTTCTTGGCATTATTAAAGCTTAGTCACTTCATTTTATATGTTTCATTTTATTTCCTTTTTTTAGTAATTGACCAATTCCATATTTCATTTGACTGGTTCTGTGGAGTATGGGCTTGTAATGAAAACAAGAGGCACTTCAGCAGAGCAGTTTATAAGTATATAATACCTTCCAGCAGTCTCTAATCCTGTCCTGTTAATCCAATTTGTGTTTAAGCAGCTCCTTCATGTCAGGGATGGCCTACCAGCTCACCTTCCCAAGCATGGATGATGAAAAGACCATCTCCACTCCCCTCTTATCTTCTCCTTTTCCTTCTTAAATACATGAAGAGATACAAGGCTGTCTAAGCCACTGCTTGCTGGGACACAGTGAAAAGAAGCCAAGTAATGCACAGATTTCTGGTGAATCTCCATGACGCTGGGTGAGGCCAAGAAGGTAGGAGTGAAATAGAGGCAGGGCTCCTGGGCTGCTATTTTAGCTGAGTAAATATTTGAATTTGTTTAATGTTTCAATGTGTAAACTGAAATACTCAGTAAATATTGAGTACCTACTCAACCAGTCACCATGGCAAGCAGGAAGAGAACAGAGAGTTGCAAGGTCCCATGTCTCTAAATAATACACTTTTTGAATTATTTTTTCAATTTCAGGCATGATATTGCCCCTGTGGTACGGGAGTTATTTCTCTCCCCATTACGTGTGAACCTTTCTCATCCTTCACTTGTCCTAATACAGTTATATGTAACTTTGATGAGATTGGTGTTCAGTGTAAAAAGTATCAGAGTTGACTTACATAGTAATAAACTGATCACCTTTCCTTTTCTGCCAGCCTGTTGTTTTCCCTGGAGTTCATAGTTATCTTTTTTCCCTCTGGTTTATTCTTCTATTCAGTTGTCGCTAATTCAAAGCCCGCCTCCTCCTAATTGTCTGAATCTCCTCCTGATATGTTTAAAAGCATCTGGCATTTTTTCAGTTTCATCTTCTTGGAGAGCTCTCTCCTCTTCTGATCCCCTCAAGTCTGAAGCAGCTGTCCTTCAGACCTGTAGCGCAGTTGCGATCCCAAACTCACCCTTCCCCACCCTGGGAATTGCCTTCTCCTCTCAGCTGGGTGGGATATCCTGTCTTCTGACTTTTTATATCTGAGTACGATTCGGTGAGGACATCCTCCGGGAGTTTCTGAGAGGAGGTTCCCCTGTGAAGGACAGAAGCGACTTACGTGCAGTCTGATTTTTTCCCT